TCAGAAAACTGCTGAAAAAAAAAAGTTTTCTAATGAAGTGCTGTAGACAATCAATCTGGATGATTAAGAATGAAATATACTAGTTAGCAATCATGTCAGAAAAGAAGAGCCTGGAATCAAATGGCAGGAATTGTGTAAAATCTAAGCAATGGCGTCTGTGTTGCTATCAACCCTTATATAAAGATACTCAAATAAAAATATAAACATTCCCAATCGCAGTGGGACCTGTATACAGACCCAGGAGCTCATGGGGCTTCCTAGGTACTATCTGTATTCTTCCAGTAGCTATTTCATTCTGTACCCTAGCTGTTCCAAGAAGATATTTGGGGGTTCCAGAATACTGTTTTTCTAAGAAAATTTTACTCTTGGCTGGTTGCAGGAGCATACTAAGGGAAAATGCTTGTGCTGGTGCTTTGGTGATTGTGCAAATAGAATTACTAGTAATTTTTAGTAAATAATTTCACTTGTTGCACACAGACTACTTAACGCTTTCTGGGCTACATGTACAGGGTTTTGTCATCTACAAAATGTTTCCACATATTTGACCTCTTTGGACCCTTACCACATGTGGACAGTCAAGTAGGGTATCTATTCCCTGGGGTCAGAATGCTTGAGTGTGAATCTGGAGTCACCATGCTGGGTGTCCTTGGAGAGTTACTTCTGTTTTCTATGCCTCAATGTCCTTATCTGTAGAGATCATTGCAGAATTTATTTACCAGGCATGTGAAGATTAGATGAGCATTGGAGAATTCAGAATGTGCTTGGAATGCAATACATTCGTGCTATGCAAGTATTCCCATTGTCCTCATTAATTAGAAATGTGACGACCAAGCTGCTATCAACCAGATGCTTATGTACCCCCCAAATCCCTGTCAAAATGCTAACCCCGATGTGGTGGTATTAGGAGATAGGGGCATGGGGGTGATTAGCTCGGACCCCTCAAGATGAGGTTAGTGCTCTTAAGAGACAGACAGGTGAGGAGACACAAGGACACTGCTGTTGGTAAACCAGAAACTGGTCCTCACCAGACACCAGCTCCACTGGCACCTGGACCTTAGACCCCCAGTCTCCAGAACTGCGGGACATAAATGCTATTGTTTAAGCTGCCCCGTGCACAGTATTCTGTAGTGGCACCCAGAGGTGACTAAGACAGAATGTTGGCGAAGCTACATGGCTTTCCCAAGACTGCAACAAATGGCGAAGCTGGGAGCTACACCCAGGGTTCCTGACTCATCCTATTAGTGGCTGTCAAGTTCTCTGCCTGTGAAAATGGGTGTTTTGCAACCATGACACAGTGTCATGCTGCTAAAACAAAATCATGGTTTTACTATCACACAGGAAAGGCAATAGGTACATGTTCCTCCTAAAAATTGGGGATTTGCGTTTGCCTGTCTGCTAGCATTTGCTGGTGCTCACAGTTCAGCACAACAGTCAGAAAGATCAACAGAGAAGACTCAGGAAAAAACTGGCCAGGCCTCATGCAGTGGCAGTTTTGTTTTCATAAGCACCTGACCTTGCTATTCAACTGCATGCATGCGTCACAGCCCTCATTCTGCAGGTACTACTCTGAGGGAGTGAACACACTGGATATGTAGTTTGCAGTGTCCCACGACTTTACTTTTCAGTAAAGAGCACAGTGGCTTCCGGGTCCCTACCCTCAAAAGAGCATGAAGGCCACTGACTGAGCCACCACCATTCCTTAAAAACCACCAACTCTCCCAACCCTACGTAGATTTGCTTTGGGGATACTTTTCTCATAATTGTTCAAACCCAGCATGTATGATCTGAGGAATTCCTGTAGGAGATGGAAGATGGATCCAGCTAGCTGTGAGGAGGGATCGGGTGCGGGAGTCCAAGCGCCAGCAGCACTGAGGCAGCCCGGGCCCGGCGCGCTCCTCCTGCTGTTTGAAGGGGGGAGCTGCACCTGGGTTATGCTGCTTTCTGGTTAGAACCCGTGACACAGCAAAGGACAGAAAGCTCTGGATATGGAGTTCTGAGAAAGACCCAAGGAGCATGTGAATCTCCAATTAGCCGCAAGCATCCCAGCTAATCCAGGGCTATGGCAGGATCCTAGAAAATCATGATGACACTAAACAGTAAGAAAGGAAGATTTGGTTGGAAAGCTAGTAAAAATGTTATGTGAAGGAGAATAAAATTATTCACATACCACAGGAAATAAAAGGCAGGCAACTTCTGAAGTGTTTCTAGCCAGAAAAGGATGGCAGCTTAATTGTGTGGTTCTCTGTAGTGAACGGCCTATTTTTTATCTTCATGAACACTGTAACCAACACTGCCTAATGCGAACCCAGCAATAATTTTCAGCCTTCTTCAGCCTGGTCCATCTTCTACCAGAGGAGCTGAAAATGCTAAACATTCCCTTTGTAGCCTGTCTGTGTAACTCAATCTTGACCTATGAGATATAAAGGGATTTCTTTTGAGAATGGCCTTTATGCATGCCCTCTTCATGCTGTGAGGTGAGGATGTGATGCCTGGGGCTGTGGCAGCCCTCTTGTGATCAGATAAACCTTAGCCTAAAGCTGAAAGGTATCACATAAAGGGAGGTCAAGAATAGAAAGTTGAAAAGTCTTATTTTTTTAAGGCATCATCGAACTGACAACCCAATCCTGCTATCACCTATTTTTAGATGTAATAAAGGTTACCAGGCAAAGCCACTGCTTGTTTTATGTTACCTGCACAGAAAGCACCTGACACAAATGTACAAAAAGAAAAAAGTCAAAGTGTGCATGGGTTTGTTGAGTGCCTTGGTCCTTTGGGCTTTATCTTTTTTCCATGATCTTGACTACTGAGGTTTACAGATGATAATTCTTGGAGAGGCACTGGCTGTTTTAGCGGTCCTTACAAGGCTGCAATGTTCATACAAATCATGCATACTATGCAAATGCAAGAAAGAAATGGTAAAAAAATACTTGTGCTGGGAAAAGAACTGACGTTTGTGCCGTGAGGGCTAAGATACCATCAAGCAGCTGCACCATGGAGCCTGAGCAGGAAAGGTTTGAAGACCCTTTGCTGAAGGACACGAAGCATAGACGCTCAGCTCTGAGTGCAGCTTCCAGGCTCCGCAGGATTCATATGAAGTTGACCTGAAGCTTCCGCAGCAGGAACAACTGATGAGGGGTCACCGAAACTTTACAGTATGTGCACGAAAGAGAAACGGCTCTGAATGGAATAGCCAGGACCTTGTCAACACCCACGTACTTCGGCCACTCAGTCCTTAAGTGTTAGCCTAGACAGTTCCCTGCTGTTTGTGACCCATGAGGGAAGACGGGAGTCTCTCGGAGCTCCAGGTCAGGGCTGCCATGCTGGGCGGCTGCTCCTTCTGGTGCAGACACAGGATTCCAGCAGGCAACAGGACTCGCAGCATAGACAGGGGAAGATCTGCTGTGGGACCCTGGAGGCTTTGATTCCAGAGAAAAACCTGTTTCTAGAAAAATGCCTTCCTTTAAAGCAATTTTCTTAATTTTGGAAAAACCAAAAGCCCAAGGTGAAAGGATTTAGTTTGCACAGACACTGCAGATATGAAATTGTAGCTGGGACCTTCCTCCTTCTCAGCAGGCCGTTTCCACAGGGGGCTCAGTCACTGCACGACTGTATGACTGGATGCTACCCGTTTCCAAAAAGGTTTTTGTTGCCAGGCTACCTGATTTTATTTATTCTTTTTGAGACAGGGTTTTGCTATGTAGCCCAGGCTGCCCTGAAACTCACATTGATCTTGCATCTCTGAGTCCCAAGTGCTGGGATTACAAGCATGCACCCCCATGTAGGTCAGGCTACCTGACTCGGATTTCTGTTACTCAGCAGTCCAGTCTTCATCACTCTCTAAACCTGTATACAAACCTCATCATCTCCTGCAAACAAGCAGTTGTGAGTGTACAGATGCAGGCTAAAGAATTATTTTGAATAGAAATTTATTTGGCAAATCAAGTATTTGCTTTCAAGTTTATTTTCTGTACGGATCCCAAGTTTCTGATATTAGGGTTATTTATGGTTCACTAGTGTTCTCATTATATCGCTGGGTGGAACTCTCAGTCATAGGGGAGGTGCTTGAGCTCCTCGTCTGGTCAGTTAGGTGCCTTGGTGGGCTGGGAGGCGACCTGGGGAGAGCACCTGCCTGGCATGCCTGAGACCCTGGGTTCGATTCCTAGTTCCCCCCACCCGGAAAAGAAGTGCATTAGTCACACAGAAGTAAACCTTTTTATTTTAGATACAAATATTATATATACTCTATGAGACAATACTGTGTAACTGAATAGTCACTCAGGTAATAAAAGGCGACGATTTAGCTTATAATTGAAGGAATGTAAGTATAAATTTGTAGAAAGATACTTTCCAAATAAAATCCAACGAAGGACTAAAATTCCTCAAATATTTTATATAATAAATTATTTCCAGTCAACAGGTTTTTGCGTTAGTGCCAAAAAAGCCACAACAAATCTGACAAACAAATGTTACAGTCAGTTTTCTAGATGAGTTCCTGTATGGAATACTGATTCAGAATGATTCAAAAGTCTGAAAACACAGGATATAGGGGTGGAGGGAGAAAAATGCTTTCCAGGGCTGGTGCAGTTAATGGATGGGCAGAGGGTGAGGAGGGGGACGAGAAAGAGGGACCGTGACGTCACTGGGTGCAGGTACGAGGCAAAAAGCAACGTGAAAGCTGGGACAGAGACGAGCCAGGCAGACAGACATGCTCCCTACGGCTGGGGACCTTTGTTTTTAAAGTGTTCAGAGACAACTGCAGCCAGGCTTCTGGTTTGAGTCCAGCCCTTCTTCTTGAACTTGAAATTTCCCAGCCAAGGTGCGTGGCATACTTGAGGAGGAAAAATACACACACACACAATTTTACTAGATATTAAACTAGAAAACCAGCTAAGACAATAAAACCAGCACAGAAATGAGCGCTTCTGGTAAAGAACTGTACACACCAACAGGTATCAGTAAAATGGGGCAGGGGAGTGAAATTGTAGTTTAGGTTTTTGAAAAAACATAAGTGGCAGGGGAGGCGAGAGAGGAAAACAAGCAAGCAGAGGAACCTGGCAAAGATGGAGAGGATCAGCACATGAAAAGGAGGTGCCAAGGCTCTGGATTCCGTGCTGTGCTCTGGACAGCGCTCCCACCCAGGTGCGATGGGCACATGCTCAGGACCAGGCCTGGTTGCAGTCCCTGTGCCCAGACACAGCCTGTGGACCGCAGCTTCTGCCAGCCTCTTCCCACTGCACACTTTTGAGCTCCTGAGGTGATCTGAATTCCCCCCGCCAGGGCAGCACATGGGGGACCGACAATGTGTGCAGGTAGCGAGGCAGCGGTGGGAAAGGTACGTTTGTACTTTCAGCTCAACCCTTTTCAAACATAACCCTTGGGACTAAACAAGGAAACTCGATTCCAAGCCCTCCTAGCTCCCAATGTGCACACCATCCACACACTCAAAAGCACAGCGCACTGTTCTCAAGGCCAAAGTAGGTTGTGCTATACTGCAAAGAATCATGCAGCCAAACCAAAGGCCCAAGTTAAGTGACAGGATGACACGGCCAACTGTCACCATCAGAGATGACACGTGGGGATACTTTTAGCAGAGGTAAGAATATCACCCACCATATTTTATTTTAAAAATATCTGATCAGACTATAAGGACACTTCACTTTGTTTTACCATGCATGATGTTACTGTTTACTTTGAAGCATAATTGTACACGGTACTTTCTCCTCTTGGGAGCCTTTACTTTGGAGGCGTGACTTGTGAGAGTGTCTGATCCCCAAGCCCTCTTCCAGCTATGCCTACCAAAGCTGTGTGACTTCCAGCAGTTAAAATGTGGCCTCACTAGGACGCCACTCATGGAGCCCCTTACTATAAAAGGCGATGGCTGGATGTGCTGTCTTTTCTGGGACCTCTTCTTTGAAAGGGGAAAATATGGCAAAAAATATTCTAAGTTGTTAAGATAATTTTTGATCTATTTAAAAAATTTTAAACTATGACATTTCACTTTGAAACTGCTTCCAATGATACAAAAGTACTTGCTATTTCTATTGTACAAAGCATAGAATCTTTGGTTTACAAATGTTTTCTACAAAAGCAATGACTTAACACTTTCTAAAATTTAGAAATTATACTCAAAAGGTGGGTGAGAGGTGACTCATTTTTACCAGTGTGGCTGGACAGTGCCAACAGGTACTTCACCCTACCAATGGGAGCAAGAGCTCTCCGCGAACTTTCTCCGCTGTGCCAGCGTCTGTGTATGCGCGTGCTGGGAAAGACAGATGCCACTGCTTCCTCACTGCTTATCTTGCTCACCAGCCAGTCAGTCAAATAAGGTGAGAACGTGTTTCTGCAAATGAACAGGCGTATCGAGGGCATCTGTCTAATTACTGAGGTAAGGCAGGTATGAGGGCATCTTCAGAGACATCAGTGGAGCTGAGGCTGCTACCGGGCACGACTATTCTCCTAGCTGGAAAGCAGACCAGCCGAGCTGGTCCCGGGCAAAGGCGCACTCACTAATGGTGTGAGTTTCATTATAAAAAGGGCATACCCACCTAGACACCTTAGAGAAGGAAAGCAGAGTGTCTCGCTTACTTAAGCTGAGGAAGGCCAGAGGAAGTGGACTCTGAACCATAAACTCAAGCAGAGCTCCATGCTGTGAAGGAGTCAGTTTTCTCGGTAGGCAATGGCACAAGTACAGTATTAGTACAGTTCTCAAGTCATGAGGGAAAGGGAGAGAAAGAAGAGGGAGGGAGGAAAGGAAACATAGCATTTAAGAGGTAAAAACTCCCCTTTACAATTATAAGACTTCATTAGGCCTAAGATTTTCTTGTTGGAAGGCACATTACATGAAGTGTAAGAACTTACTAAGACCATGGTAGTCACTGAGGTGTAGAAGTACAGCCGTGTTATTAACAAACCAACCCACTGCAGCTGAAGTAGGTGGGGTACGGGAGCAGCTAGGTTCCAGGTCAAGACGAGCTGATGCTCTGGATTGAATTTCAATGACTCTTCAGCACTTAAAGTCACTGTGTCCTTTCACTGGAGACTTCGGATCCTCGATATGACAAAAATTTCAAACTGCAAAGAATTATACCGCATTTCTTGTCGGTTTGCACCACAGCTTAGGCCAAGTTCACTGGTTCAGTGGAGAGGATCTTCCATGTCTAGTCCACACCACTCATTATAAAGTCAATTAAACAGGAGATGGAAGGAGTGATTAAGGAGTTTCTGACCTCATTGTCTTGGTTATGTGCCCACAATTTTCATAAAAATAAATAATAGGCATTAAGTCAAAATCAGGATTCAAATTTGGAACAAGACAAAAAGGAACAATTTAGCATTCTTAAGGCAAAACAATAGAAATCTCTTTAAACAGACATATTATACCCACAGGCGATAAAATCCCAGGGCTACTGTTAGGCAGGTAAATATGGACCCTGTAAGGAAAGACAATGGAGACCGCTGTTAATTCTCCTAACAGCTACTTGAGGGAGTAGCTTTGTTGTATTAGGCATCATAAGCAATTTACAGACGACTTGAAGTACAAGGTTACCTGTTTACTAAGAATACAATGACACCTGTTCACCTAAAATTTTTTCAAAAACTCTAGAAAAGTAGTTTGCTTAATGATGTACCGTACTCTATAAAACACCTGCCTATTAAAAAAGAAACCACACTCCTTGAAACCATCATCATCAAAGTAAAAATGCATCCAATATTCCAGAAAAATTTTCAATACAAGTTTTGAATCACAAAAACTCCACTGTCACAAAGTATATGTATGTGTACTACACAGGGGCACAGACTTTAACGCAGGTCTAAATCTCACTGTGACACAATGCTGTAACTTTAAACTATTAATCCAAAAGGTTAAAACTGACTTGAAATAATAGCTAACTTCTAAAACATATTTAAATCTTCACCTGTCTCTTGGCTCAAAAACTGCAAAGGCAAAATAACTCCTTAAAACTAATGTAACCAGGGGAAGGGATTTAGCTCAGTGGTTTCGCCACCTGCCTTGCAAGAGCAAGGTCCTGAGTTCAATCCCTGGTACCAAAAAAGAAAAAGTAATGTCATCAACTGTCAGACATGGTGGTGCAGGCCTATAATCCTAGCACTCTGGAGAGGCTGAGGCAGGAGGACTGCAAGTTTTAGCCTAGCCTGGGCAACTTGGCAAGATCCTACTTTAAAATAAATAGCTGGGGTTGTGTCTCAGTACTGAACCACAAAAAGAAAAAAAGAAAGTGTCACCAACTGACACAGAAAGATCATGACTCAACCACCTTCCATTTCATTCATAATATATTCCTTATATTGTTTCACCAAAATCCCAAATAGCCACAGCCGAATGATAAACTTATGAGTCCACCAACTGTAAACTACATTATTACTTTTATTTGCTAGTAAGAAAGAAAAAATGCCAATCAAAGTATGTACTCCATCTAAGGGAAACTGTTTCTGTTTTGTTCTTTTTGAAACAGGGTCTCACCATGTAGCTGGCCTGGAACTTGCAACAATCGTCCTGCCTCAATCTGAGTACTGAGATGGAAACTGAAAAGATGTTAAAACACGCACAAAAAAGTGCTAGGCTCAGATAAATGCAGCATTTGTCTCCGACTTTATAAATCCGAGGTATATCCTCTCCAGGTTGTCTAGAGCTCTTAGACACAGAGCGGCTCACCTGCTAGATACTTGATGGTGTCCAGCTTATGCGCCTCCAGCATGGTCTTGAGGCCAGAGACCTCGGTTTCAATCTTCCTGTCCGTCTGTGTCAAGGCCCGATCCTGCTGAGCATGCTTTCAAAACACAGAAGTTCCGGCATGAGCGCGCTCTGGCTACTGTCCCCTCTGCTCTCGGTCCTTCTGGGCAGAGAGCACACAGGACAGCCTGGGGTGAGCCCAGGAGCTGGGCTTCAGGTTCAGTTCTATGACCCGAGACAGTGCTGGTGCCCAGGACCCCTGCGGAGTCTCCAGGCCTGAGCTTCCCTGTGTTTGGAAAAAGGAAACCAAACCCACCACGCCCCACTCTGCCACAAGGGCTCCTGAGAAAATGACAGGTGATAATCTATGAGGAAAGCCTTCTGTGAACTACATACTGCTCTACAAATGAGTTATTATGTCATGAGTCCAGTCTGTGATCAAAAGCAATGACTGCACCACATCTCTCTAAACATCCCTTAGTAAAAGGTATAAACAAGAGGTATTTGGAGAAATGAATACAGGCTTAGGTAATCTAAAAGCTTGTCTTGATACTATTCTAGTCACATTTTTATAAGTTGTCTTCTTCTGCCATTTAAACATCAAGTGTTTTATTAGTACAAGGCTTCGCTACCAAGGCTAGCCTTCAAGTCCTTCTCCAAAAAGAAAACATTATTAAATCCCATGCGGCAGTGAGTTTGACTGGTAAAGGTTACATGATTGCATTAACGCATAAAAACACAGAGAATGCTTCACTAAGTACCCTCGAAGAAGTAAGTAACTTCCTATGGCTACCAATTCAGGTGAAGAATGAGGAAATAAATGCTTGAATGAGTGGAAAACTAATCCAGAAAAATATCCCAATATCCCAGAATCCTCTCTGCAAGCCTCTTCCAGGTTTCAGAGGTCCCAGGTAACATACCCAAAAGAACTGAAAGCAGGCATTTGCACACCTATGTTTATTACAGCATTATTCGCAACAGCCAAAGGACAGAAGCAATGCAAGTGTTCAATGACAGACAAATAAATGAGACGTGGTGTACACACGTAACAGAATACTGTTCAGCCCTTGCAACAACATGGTTGAGCCGTGAGGACATCAGGCTAAGTGAAAACATCAGTCACAAAGAAAAGTACTACGATTCTGCTTCTACGAGGTTATTCAGAATTGGCAATTCACAGAGAAAGACAGTAGCACAGTTGGCTGGCGGGGGCTGCAGGAGGAGGCAATGGGGAGTCAGAATTGAAGGGATACAGGGTTTCAATTTTGCAAAACAAATGCTATTGAATCATGTATGTGTGTGTATGTTAATTTTTATGTTAACAGATATTTTTTCACAATAAAAAAACAACACTAAGCCTGCATATCTTCTTGTAACACAAACAACAGCAACCATGCTTGGGATAAAGCAAGAATGAATAAAATAACAAAGTTAGTCTCATATCTTACCAATTCCACTATTTCTGTCCTCAATTCCAGCAGCTTCCTTTCATTCAATGAATACTGAAACAAACATGTAATGGGGGTCAGAGCTGGATTTGCCTTCTCCTTCCTGGGCCTTCCCAGAAAACTAGGTCCGCGACAGCAGCCCACCTTTCTATGTCTGTGATCGGAGGTTTCATATTTATACTCCTTCCTCTGATTCCATTTTGTCACCTGTCCCCTCCGCTATGTTTCTCTTTGTCTCCTGGCTGTGATATCCCCAGCTTCCTCCCACCACGAGAACAGCATTTCCTCAGGGGTTGGGGTCTAGCTCAATGGTAGAACACTTGCCTGGCATGCGGGAGGCTCTGGGTTCAATCCCCACTACTGGGGGAAAAAGTAAAGTTCTGACATTTTTTAGGACCAATTTGGTAGATACCGAGTTGTGTGCTTTTTGCTTTAAGAGCGCCGAGAAAGGTAAGAGTCAATGGTGTAGAAGCTACCTCATGATAACTGTAAACAAAACATGCCACCCCTAAGGCTTAGAGAAAAGACAGGAACAATTAAAGTCAGGGGGAAAACAGCTGCAAGGGATATTGTGGGACATTGTCCTGTGAGCATGAAACACATCATACGCCATCACATGCTGGCTTTAGTAATTACTTGGGCGTGGTCACAGTGCAGTGTTACTGAGAGGTGACAAGTTAAATGGTTTCTTGCCTTCGGCTATTAATGACAGTGAAAAGATTTGGAACAGTTCTGTTGACACTAAAAATCAGACATCAGTGGTGGGCATTAGGGTCCACTGAGCAAACAACAACCTGCAGGTTAACTGGTGTCCCCGACTTAAATTAACATGGTGATAAGGAGAAGTTAATGCTTAGAAGGTTCTAGAAAATTTCTAGTTATAAAATGTTGTCCCAGGACTGTCAGGGGGCTAGAGCATAAAAACTGCAGTTCTGAGAAGTAAAACAAAACAAAAACCCTAAATCCCCTTATCCCCAAATTAAGGACCAGCCATTCACGAAAGCAAAGGCCAGAGCTTCAGCCCAGGAGGGTGCTATGCAACCGATCACCACCAGAGGGCAGGGGAGAATGGCATTTTCTGCACACCTTAGCGTTCTAGACTTCACTGCAACATTGACTTATCCACACAGGAAAACAAAAGCCTAAAACTTTGACACTGTCACCACTGTAAAAATAACATCTATGTGGCTCCAGCTCCCTGCTCTTCAAAACAGTTTATATGCCAGACAGCCTTTGAAACTGGCTGTAAATGTCAAAACAGTTAATTTTTTTTTCTATTCTTTATAGTGCTAAAGATCAAACCCAGGGCCTCACACAGACTAAGCATCCTACCACTAAGCTACAACCCCAACTCTAATTTAATCTTTAGTTTGATACTGTAAATTTATAGAGAATGAGAAGGCCAGACATCTCAGCTTCGTCACTGCCTGCAACACACACTCTGGCTATACAGAAGCACTATCCTGTGCTTCGGAGTAATCCAAGTTCAGGGTTGCTGAGGACAGCTTCCCAGCTGGGTCAGTAACCCCGCAAATTCACTGGCTTTCATTTACACCCACATCCTGCATTTCCCAGTATCCTTGATGTATTTCTTTCCAGCATGGTTAGTTACAGGTACACAATCATCTTCCTAAACTGAGTGGATTCACGGTTCTAAAAACAACCAAAAAGGAAATAGGTAACCAGAGTTTTTTGTCTTCTAGATACTAATGGTAGGCTTGCGGCCACTAAACGTCTTAATGATACCAGGCAATTTAATCTTCATGGTTGGAAAGTGCTACATGATTAGAAAGATGAGTAATATGAACAGAAAAACTTTTATAACAAAGCTCAATTTAGCTATCTATAGCCAGCAGTGGGACCAAAATGCAATTACATACTTGACTTTCAGTATAGTTTCATTTATCAGAGAACATTTTGATTAAAGGTAAATTGTGAAAAAGAAGATGAAGAACAGCTGTGAGAACTCAGTTTCTACATGCATCTCCAATTCATGCTATGAAACGTGCACCACAGGCACTGTCTCTAGTTACCCTGATACTGAGCTAAGAGCAGTGTCTCACTTGTCTTATTTTTATCTGAAGACTGAGCAAGAAGACAGATGAACATCAGACAGGTTGGAAATCACCAGTGGCATTCAATGCGTGTTCTTTTCCTTTTTTGGGGGGTACTGGGAATCAAACTCAGGAAAGCGGGGGCAGTGCCACCGAGCCAAATCCCTGGCCCTCTTGTTTTCTTTCTTTGAGACAAGGTCTCACTATACAGCCCAGCTGGCCTGGAACTGGTGGCAGTCCTCCTGCCTCAGCCTCCCAAGTGTGCACCACTACACCTGGCTCAACACATATTGTTATGAAAACAAAACTTCTCATTGTATTTAAAAGACAATATATGGAGCTGGGAATGTGGCCCAGTGGGAGAGCTTGCTTAGCAGGAGTGAAGCACTGGGTTCCAAAAGCCCCAACCAAGCACAACTCCCAAAACAAACAAAAACTTCCTAAAAAAAAATCATATAGAAATACGTTTTAATCTTACATTTCAGTGTCTAATTTAACATTATTTCATATTAATAATCTAATAAAACTTATCTAAACAATTCTCAGAATTAGGGCATCTGTAGATTAAATCAGTTTTTAATAGATCAAGATGGAGATTCTTTATCAATGTCTATGTAACATATAATCAAACTCTATATGACCAAGATTTTAATTTTAGTTACTTTTGAAAGCATCAAATATAAGCCCTAATCCAAAATATAACAGGAGTTATAAAATACTGATTCAGTTCAAAAACTCAATAGTACTTGTGATCCGTATCTGAACCAAGGCTTAACCAAGCATTTCCCCCTGAAAAGAAATGAACTCAGAATCGACTTCCAGAAAGGAACATACCAATTCTTTTACTCTGCTCTTTTCTAGATTGAAGTCTAACTTGGTATCTGTTCGGACTTTGATCACTTCATCCTAGTAGGAAGGCAAACAAAGAAAAGAGAAATCCATGATCAGAAATCCAAACCTCCTGAGGTTACGATGCAGGGATCACCCACTATCTCTGTCCTAAGGGGGCCAACGGGGGTCAGGGTACAGCCAGAGGCTCCTGGGAAAGGCAGCCAGGGCCCAGTGACATGGGGACAACAGACAAGCCATGCGTGCAGCCAGCTCTGTCTTAGGGCTTCCCAGTTGTCCATCATCCATCTATCCATCTATCCATCTACCTACCTACCTATCTACCTATCTATCAATCATAATAGTTTTGGCTCCTGGGTTTTTGTTGTTTTTGCGGTTGCATTTTACTTTATTGCTCAAGTTGGCCTCAAACTTCTGGGCTCACATGATCCTCCTGCCTCAGCCTTCCAATTAGCTGAAACTATAGGCCTTATTGTTGCTTCTAATCTCAAGATTCCCATACATTTTCCCCTGTGGAATTTATAGTTAAAGTAGTTCCTTGGAAAGAAGAGATGGGCTCAAAGAAGAAAAATATTAAATTTATGGTTTAAATAAAAGCCTTCTCTCTGAAATTCATCGAATAGTTTCTTCTTAAACACCAATATCCTTTTTTTTTTTTTTGGTTTTTTGAGACAGGGTCTCACTATGTAGTTGAGAATGACCTGGAAATCATTATGTAGCCCAGGCTGGTCACGAACTCATAGCAATCCTCCTGCCTCAGCCTCCCAAGTGCTGGGATTACAGGCATGCACCACCATGCCTGGCTGCCAATATCCTTTTTACAAAAAAAAAAAAAAAAAGCTGACCGGGTATTAAAAAACAAAACAAAACAAAAAAAATCCTTTAAAAATCACCTGTAATTCTAAAAAAAAAAAAAAAAAAGAAAAAAAAAAAAAAAAAAAACTGGCCAGGGATTAAAAAAAAAAACAAAACAAAAAAAATCCTTTAAAAATCACATGTAATTCTAAAAAAAAAAAAAAAGAAATGAAAAAAAAAAAATCACATATCACCCTAAGAGACTCTAAGGGTCCATGTGGCTACTTCAGAAATATTTTGATTTTAAAATGATTTAATTTCTCCTAGAAAACAATTTTCTCAGTGAATTTAGATACTGATAATTTATGCATGGTGTACTTTTGAGGCATATTACACAAACATTTGACAGAGAATAAAGTTTTTAAGAGCATATAATATATTTTTGATATATATAATTACAAACGAAACGGCAAACAGGAAGGAGATTCTTACCATTACTTGTTGTTTTAACTGATGTAGTTCAAGCTTTATTTTCTAAAAAACAAGTTAGAAAGAAACAAGGGTATGATAAAAAAATATAAAACTCAATCAACAAATATTACAACATTCATTAATGTAAAAGTTCAGCTTCTTCCCTTGTTCATCACACATGCGAATGCATTTAGGATACAAAGCCACAACTGTACCACAATGCATGTGTAACTCCTGAAGTTAGTTTTAGTTCACAGTGAAGGTTCCATAAAACTGGTGACACAATTGTCTGTTTAACAGTTTCTTTCAGCGACACTGCTCTCTTTAATACCTTCTTCAATTTTTATTTCAACAAATTCTGCCCTCTAATAGCTGAGGTCAAGGACAATTTTAGAGGTCAATTTTAAACAAGGCTTATTATGACACTACAATGAACAGGCAATAATGACCTTCCCTTACAGAACTTTAGTAGGACTGAAGATAAAAGGACATCAGAGAGCACGATACAATGGGATATAATGCTGCTCCTCTCTGCTGCACTTTAAAAAGGGGAAAGATACTGTGCAGCGGTATCATGGTATCGGATTCATCACAGCTCAAACCAGACCCTCCTGATGGCACCACCATAGAACATACAGCACATTCCTTTAACACCTCAGACAACGAGAAAAAAGACCCGGTGTTACAAGACACACTGTGTACTTTCATCAACAGGTGATGCTGGTCTAGGGAGTCACCAGCCAGGACAGCACGGCTTCTGGAGGTGAGCAGACTCTGGCACTGGTCCGGCTCTGACTCCTGACCCGGCCGGTGGTGTATACTCAGAAATGTGCTGTGATGACACCTACTTTACCCTTTGACCTAGGTATATCACAGTACAACTCAATGTCTTAACAAAACAAATCTTATACGTGGCTCTGTAGTTTTACCTCATTTTCTGCTCTGAGGGCTGAAAATTCACTCTTCTCCAAAATAATCATATCCTTTTTCACGTTTGCAATCTTAGACATTATTTGCTGAAGAGTGATCTCCTAGGGAAAGAGAAACAAAGCTAATCATATAACACAGCCTAGAAATCTACCTCCTGTTGTCTCTGTATGCTGTCACCTTAATGAGAAGACCAAAGGATGTGGACAAGGGAGGGGCTGGCAATGTCTCTCTCCCTTGTGAAATGAAAAGAACAGAAGCACACCCCAGAATCGCTACCAAACGAATCCATCACAAGTGTGGTGGCCCAAGGCCCAAGCACATGAGGCCATGCTGCAACTCCAGCCACAGCTCCACTCATTGGTTTGTTACTCTGGAAGTGCTCATTTGAGCACAGTGAACTGTCAAGAACGATGAGTTCTTAACTTAACAGGTGCCTAAATGGCTCTGAATACTGTTTATACCACTACAATGTTTTGCCCCTTAACTACAGCTAAAATTATGACAGACTTTTCAATCGAATATTATCCAAAAATTGCATTCACATTTACTACAGATCTCAAAGCCACGCAACTGCCCAGACCATGCTCACCTGCTGCACCTTGGTGACCATGTCTTTGTAGATGATGTCCGTGTTGGCCTCCATGATCTTGACCAGTGCAGACACAATGATTTCTGCTTGTTGAGTCGTAAACCCTAGGCAAGCACATGAAGACAACCACGCTCAGAGGAAACGTGGTTGTCAGCAAAAGAAAATACACAGCGGACTTATACATTCTTTTGATAGTCTAAGTTCAGAAAAGAGGGACAGCACAGTGTGACAGAAGGTGAGGAGACCAGAGTCAGTGGCGGCCGTATCTCTCACCCTGACCTATTCGCGTCATCACAGCCAGGGCCCAGCTCAATGATGCTCCTGAATGCCCTTCCTAGCTGTCCAAAATCATGTCTTCAAAGAAAGTTAACGACACTGGGAATGCCTGCAACTCAATGGCAAGTGGGAAACAAGAACAGCAAAGACTGCTTCTGCAGTCATTCTTTTGGGGGCCGCTGAGGATGCGACCCTGGACCTCACACACACCGGGCACACACGCCACCGCTGAGCTACACACCCAGCCGCTTTCTGTAATTTCACAAAGACTCATCCCAATTTTCATTTCCTTTTTTCATCTTTCTCTCAATTGTTTAAATTTTCTACAGTGGACAAGATACTTAATTTTAAAATATATATTATTGAAAAATAAATTTCTTAACTAAGAAAGTACCATTACTTTATATCCAACATAAATTAGTCACATTATTATTACTGACTATAAATAATAATGTAGCTATCAACTGATTTAGTGCTAAAAGTCAAAATCAATTCTTTCCTTTTCCCTCCAAAATTTTTCTTTAGTCACTAGTCTGGGGGGCCAAAATTGGAAAAAACAAAACAAAACACTGTTCTTTGAAACTTAATAATGATGGCCGGGCATGGTGGCACACACCTGTAATTCCAGCACTCAAGAGGCTGAGGCAGGAGGATCACTGTGAGTTCAAGACCAGCATGGGCTACACAGTGAGTTCAAGGTCAGTGTGAACTACATAGTGAGACCCTGTCTCAAAGCCCACCCCCAAAAAAAGATGGTGAACTGAATTATAGAGATTCAACTTAGTGTTGTTACTGCTTTTAGTAACTTTATAGATAATACATATCTCACATTAAAAGTTCTAATACAATGCTTACAACTCAGTTTCTGAAAAGTAATTCTATTTAACACTTTCATTTATAAGAACTTCAGAAGAGCTTTATGATTCTTCTGAGAAATCAATGCTATTTTTGTTTGAATCAAGCAATAAAATTTGTATGAAGGCAATTAAGCGTAGGACTAAATTAACAAAGCCACAGATTTAAAGAAGAAAAGGATGTCCAGAGACCTAGTCCCATCACTTTATTCAACTTCCTTTACTTTGTCAAAATGTGTTATGCACATCTAGAAAGAACACCCAGAGCAGACCCTACCATTTTTTAGCTCTGGGGTATCAGGTTCTGAGGTTTTGTTTTCTATTTTCTTTTCTGCCTTTCTAATATTTAAAAAATGAACATGACTTTTATGAATTTTAAATTTTTATTAAAAAGAATGGTTAAATATAATTAGGCTTGACAACTATGAGAAAAAGATATTCTATTTAATATATAAATTTTTAATAAATTAGCTACAAGTGTAAGTTTAAATAAAAAGAAAAGGCTGAGGCAAGAACACAAGTTTGAGCTCAGCCTGGGCAACTCAGTGAGACCCTTTCTCAATAAAGGGCTAGGGTAGTAGCTCAATTCAAAGGCTCTAAGTACAATTACCAGTACAACAAAAATAGCAAGAGAGAGGAGGAGGAAGGGAAGGAGGGATTTATGAAGATCACACAACAAACTCCAAAAACATATAGTTTATAACCACCTGGGGGAGGAGAAAGAGGTAAGAAAAACCAGAAACTATGCCTTAAAACCTATTGAGTTATGTACACGTTATAGGGGAGCAGGGAGTGAGGTCGCAGACTTAGGGAGTTTTGTTCATCAGGAGGCACAGGCTCTGGATACGGACAGGGCCACACTCCATGGAGAACCCTTCCTGGCCTCCTCCTCCTAAGAGGGTCAGCTCAGATTCCATTGGGCGGGGCCCTCACAGCTCCTGTTTTAAAAAATGCAAATAACGGGGATTTAGCTCAGTGGTTCTACTGCCTGGCTGCTTCCCAAGTGCAAGGATCCAAGTTTGATATCCGGTAGTAAAAAAAAAAAAAAAAAAAAAAAAAAAAACAAACGG